ATTCATTCTACCTACTTAACTTCAGTCTTAACTTTGTTCTCAGAAAAAAATAAACAAAATGAGATCATGGGGGCTTGTGCTAAATATGATGAGAATGCTTAATGCATAATTTAGGTCCTAGATTTTCCAGCCCTAACCCCTAGAAGCCTCAGGGAGTACCTAATTTTAAACAGCAGAAGTATTCCTACTCCCAGAACTTCATAGGTGAGACATTCAGTAATTCTGTTGTTTTTTCTAAAGTGGTCAACCTCAAAATACGTAAACCTGAAGATATGATCCATGGAATAGGAGTCTCACATCCTAAATAAGCAAGTGAGTACTTGCTATAAAGTTTAGACAGATCCAAAATAAATACACCAGACTTACTATACTCAGCTGCCTTGTGTTAATTACTCCTATCAAGTCTCAAGACTTCAGTGAGGCAGAGGAGGAACAGACCTTAAAACTGACATTCTTCTTGGAACACTAGTTAATTTTTAACTAGTGAAAAATAAGGCTGTTTCTACAGTAAGAGTGCATTAGATCCTGCCTTTCAGTGTGGCCAAACAAAGCTTCCAAGCCCTCAGGCACATTATTCTCTTTCAATTGTTCATGTTGTCGCTACTGTTCTGTGTACAAGAAGTAAACAGATTATTATCACTTTAAATAGTATAGTTTGCTTTCTAAAGGAGCTCCTCAAGTATTTGTGTGGCAGAGATGCAATTGCCCGTAACAGACATAAAAATATTTAGTCAACAAGCCATGTGAATAACAAAGCAAATAATTGTGGAGAGTCCCATGACATCACTTTAACTTTTATAGTAACTTGAAATTTTCAAATCATTATTATAAGTTGCATTTTTATTCCTTCACTACTCTGTAAAGATGATGCTCCTACAGCAGCTGCTGTGGTCCTGTCAACACTCATCCTCATCCTTCACCTGCCTTTCTATCATCTCAACATGTCAAAAAAACCTCCTGTTGTAGATTGCCAAAATGACACCCCTTTCCATGCTTACTTCTTACATAGCTTCCTGACAAATGAGTGAACACTTGATTCTTAGTGCAAGAGCTGAGATTAGTTTTCCACTTCTTAAGAGGCCCCTAAAATTAAGAGATCAAGTTTACAGTTACAGGTGGGCATCAGTGCCCTGGAGAGATTTTCCAAGACGTTAGGCAGATCCAGCCTTTTCCAGGTTGTGAAGGACATGACCCATGGACTGAAGCCTTCCTTCAGCTAAGCTGGCTGTGTAACAACACAGGCTTTACAACTTGCAAGAAATTTTATAACACAGCATGAAGTCTTACTGCAAAAAGAGTTATGTTGTGATTCACTGACCAATATAAATACCATGTGACTGGAACGAGACATGTGGTGGTTTAATAAAAACGCTCAATATTTCTTGAAAACACAACACATGGTAACTGCTGATTAGACACTTGCAGTAGTTCTCACATTTTGATTCTTTCAGAGCTTACATACATACAGATCTAACAGTCCAGCTAAAAGGACAACTCAGTGCTCTAAGGAGTAATGGATTCAAAGTGACACAAGTAGGAGACAATAATTCTCTCACCCTACAAAAATATATTAAATACCTTGTGGAAAATAGCTCTTTCTCATCCAGTTTCTGTAAGTGTGACCCTGGGTCCCATTCTTGCATACATTTTATTTTACTGCCCAGCTCTATGATATCACCACAAAGCTTAAACTCCTACTGGATATAACAGAGCTAGCACTGGTAAAAGCCCTAAAGTCCTACTCTTCCTTCTCTTTCTTATGTATTGCCAAGTCTGAAGTGACAGTATCTGTTTTGAATGACATATGAAGTAGATCATGAGTGGCATCCTTGTGTGCTTTGATAAAAGTAACTGAAGTGCTCTGCCGAAATTCATTTGGATAATTATATGGCTCTAGTTTGAAATTAGCCTGTTAGCATTTGCTAGAAGAGTTCGTGTTCTCTTCATAATGCCAGCCTCTTCACTTTTTTTCTCCCTTCAGCTGTTACTGAATTTTAATGATAGCTGAAATACATACTTCACTTTGGGGAATCCAATATGAAGAGAATTGCAACAAGGCAATCTCTTATTTTAAAGTTATGTTTTTTTAACATATATGCATATGCATTAAAAAAAAAAAAAGTTAATCTCAGGAGTGAGTGCACTTTACATTCTCACAATTTACAGTACAGCTTTACCGGGGTAACTGCTTTCTAGATATTCCATGAGTTCAACATGAATCAAGTATTTATTCCCTCCCCCTCCAAAATGCTGACACAAAACCTTGCATTAGCTCGAAAATAACATGTCGTCGTTTAAAATCTTGCCGTTTTCTTCCTTTGATGTCTTTCCATGCAAGTATTTCACAGACCTGTAACGATACCCGGTGTGAGCGCGCACCGAGTGAGTGTGCCTTCTTTTGCAGCTGTTTTTTGATCTGACCACAAGATGGCGGTGTGACCCATTTATACTGCCCCGCGCTTCTCCCAGCCAACCGGCACAAGTCGCCCGTGGATCCCGTTCCTTCCCTTTAAAACTCCGCAGGAGGCACTCAGACCGTAAGGACGTGCCACCAGCCGCAGAGCGCACGGACGGGCAAGGCCGCCGTTACCGACTGGCCCACTTTCACCAAGTCTTGCAAAGAGCAGCTCGGCAGCGCTCCCCACGCCACGGAGCAGCACTGGGCAGGGCTTTCACATGCACAGGAGAGCTGGGAAAGAAAACCCGAGGCACTGAGCTGGCAATTAAGGACATTGATCCGCTCCTGCCAGATCTGCTGTGAAGGTTTAAAATGGCCTCAATAATCAATAGTTATTAAAATGCATTGCTTGACTCTTAAAGTTATTTGAAGCTGCATTAGGATCGGAAGTTCCTCAGTATTGCAGCGCCACCTCCATATTTAACTTGAAAGGCTGACAAAGTAGTCTAAAATATTCCAGTTTGCTGGGATGTTTGCATTTCAAGGGTGTTTTCTTTTTCCAGTTTTCATATGCTCTGTGTTAGCAACAAAGAGGTAGGAAAGATTGTAGTAATTCCTGAGCCCATAGGTGGCAAAAAGAGAGAAAAGGGGACTGGGGCTGGGAGAGGGAGCAGGATGGAAGAGCAGGAAGAGGCTAAACAGCTTCATGACTAAAATATTTCTAACTCCTTGTCCTACACAGTAGAAAAGGATCCTTATAAACTTCTGTAGAGCTTTGCATATGACATGAATTTAAAGGGCATTCGAAGCATCTTTTGTGCTCATTAGACCAGACAGACAGTTCCAAGTATGCTTAACATAGACGTTTGAAAGACTAACACAACTGTTTCTGGAAATAGACATAGCTGTCCCACAGTGACCTGCACTGAGGTGGTGATTTCTGTTTTCATTTAAAGTGTAAGTTTAGGCAAGTTTATCTTTTTCCAGAGAAGATGGGAATAATTAAAACAAAATTAAAAAACATAAAAGAATGTGGTATCCCTGCACAGAATGTTTATTAGTGAAGTACAAAACTGACGTAAAATAAGTCAGGCTATCATCACAGAATTCAGTAGGGACTCAATAATTTTCAGGTATCTCTAAAAGCGTAGTATCACAACCAACCTGGCATACTGCTTCACTTCAGGGTTAAAGTTTCCTCACCAAGTGAATCATTGATTAGCAAAACAGAAAACAGCTACTGAACAGATAATGGGCAACGCTGCAGGTTATTTTTAGCACTATTTTAGCAAGCCATACATTTAGAATTGCATTTTTTAATGATTTCTGGAGGACAGGAGAAGAGCCAATAGTTAAATAAAGTAGCATAGCTCTTCTTTCCCACAATATTCAATTAAATGGTTGGCCGTTAATGTAAGTCATGTTGAACCTTTGATCTACCTTTCAAAATTTCCTTACCTTGCCGTGCAGCTTTCATTAGTCTAAAATAAATTAGCAACCTTAGAACTTTAATGATAGGATTGGCTGGTAATTGTGCTCTGCTATTGACTTGATGCAGAAGTTCATTTCTCACAGCTATCGAAATTCAACTGCCTCTTCCTTTGTGAGTCCATTAGCAACCAAAGATCCCATATAAACTGATGTGCCCTTTTCATGGTAGTGGAAGATGTAAGGACAAGAGAGAGACGGAGCTCTGAACAACAATAGCCAAATAAGAAGGAATGAAAGTCTCTCATTTGATTGTTTCTAGCATTACTGCAACTGAGGGAAATAAAGAGTTCTCACCATCAATCGCCATAATGCATTCTGCTTTACATTACCAAGTCCAGCTAGAGGGATTTTTTAGCAAACATACTAAAATATGGGAATGCTTTTGTCTTTTCGTTGCACCTTCCTCTTAGGTCTAGTTAAACTAAACTCTTAACACTTGTAGGCATTATTTCCCCTGCGCTCCCAAGCTAGCAAGAAGATTACAACAGTGAGAGCCTTTTAGGTCACCAGTCCTGCTCCCCAGACACATGCAGTAGGTAGGAACATCCATTCAAGCTGTTAAGCCTCAGAAGATGGAGGTTACTAAGACAATGTGGTAGCAGTAAGGATTTTGAGTTATCTTTACTATTCTGCTGGGGTAAATAGCTCTGCCCTCTCCTGGAAGCTGTGAAGCATGGGCTTTAGCTGTAGTTCCCCTGCACTCTTGATTGTGACTCTGTGTCCCGCTGGAGAAGGCTCTGCTGTGTTTTTAGGTCACTAAGATTGCAGACCCAGGCTTTCAGGCACCCCCAGATTGGGCAAGGATGGTTACAGTTCCCTCCTATTGCCAATAGTATGGTTAACCATGCTTGTATTTCACCTATGTACAACTTCTACAACAATGTCCAGTGCACTTGATAGATTTTATAGTTTGCCTAATCTGAAAGCTTCTCTGTTCCTACTGTCAAGCTAATTAAATCTCTTCCTGCAGTAACTTCCTATTTCGGTTAGAAGAAATACAGAGGTTGTATCTATTGCTATGTATCCCTTGGAAAAGTAGAATCATTATGCTTCCATTTAAATCAAAAAATCTTTCACATTATTTTTCTGTTCATTATTCTTAACAACAAACAGCATAATATTGCAATAATCAGAGGTTCATTAAAATTTTGCTTTCACTACTTATGCATGAGAGCTGTGCATGTGTTGAAGCCACTCAAGACCTCAGCACTATAAATAGTGCTCTATTGTTAGTGGATAAAAGATGAAACCAGTCTCCAGTCACTGGAGCACAGCATGCCCTATTAAATGTTAAGCTCTGCCTGTGCTAAAAGTGAAAGGCAACATGAACCTATAAACTAGTCTGCGGGTAAGGCATATGACTGGGAAGAGTTTGCTGTGACTCTACAGCTTCCCCAAAGCGACAGGATCAGCAACTTACCTTTCTGCCTCTGCGATGGCAGAAGCTGTTATAAGACACTGGGTGGAAACTCCTGTACGCTACCAAGAGCAGTTTGCTGTCCAAGAGCTGGAAGGACACAAACTGGACCACTCTTTATATGCTTTGCCAGGTCCTTCTACAGCTGCATGGAGCAACAGAAGGTGTACTGCAGAAAGTACAGCTGAGGCTGGGAAGAGTGGCCAGGAGGAGGAAAACACAGGCTTCCAGGTCTTGCTGGATGTTGTGCAGTTCCGCCCCGAAGATATCATTATTCAGACTTTTGAAGGCTGGCTCCTGATCAAGGCTCAGCATGGACCCAGGATGGATGAACATGGTTTCATATCCAGAAGCTTTACCAGACAATACAAGTTACCTGATGGAGTGGAGAACAAAGACTTGTCTGCACTATTCTGCCATGATGGCATTCTGGTTGTTGAAATGAAGAACTCTGTGGGAAAGAATTAGAAACTTGCCCATAGTTTATTGGTGAGATAAAACCATTCATAATATAACAAAATAATATAATTCGAGCAATGCTGTAGAGTGTAGTAAGCATGTGGCTGTATTTACATTGCAGTAAAGGAAAATCTTTGTATGTGTTTTTCAGTATGCTGAGTTCATTGTTTGATGTGAAGTGTCAGACTGCTTGCCTCCAGTAACATACGTGTTGAAAAGCCAGGCTTTTTTAACAGCAGAGAATTTAAGCTCATCACAGCAGGAGAAAAATAAATCTACTTGATAACATATTGAAAATAAAACACATTTATGAGCTCAGTAGGAGGAGCTGTATTTCTAAGGAATAAGCATTTGTCATACATAGTCGTAATCATTAAAGAAGAAATAGACAGAGTTTGAGTCTTATGGAAATTTAATCTATGTACCAAAAAATCTCTTTTCTAATTTTTGAGATGAATTTTTTCTTCCTTAGGGACTGGAAAAGCAGACAAAATGAAGGATACTACCAGGAAAAAACCCAACTATTTCCACAGTTCAAGCTTGTATACAAAAACCCGTGAGAGATTACTTTTTAGAAGTGTGTTGCATGTTTGAAACTAGAAGAAAAAAAGTTAATCACTGACTATATTTGTTTGAAAACACAGCAAGTAGAAATTATACTTTCTGTCAAAGACAGATAATTTGAAACAAAACATTCAAAGACATTTAGAAAATTGGCTTTATTTAACCTACTCTGCTATCTATTAGCAACTGAGGAAAAATGCAGTGTTTACAAATACTCAAAAGGATCAAATTCTTCCTTGTGAACCCCTGGTAATAAAAAGGCATTATTCTAGCACAGATGCCTTTATTCTTTTACATTTTAAGTAGTCATCTTGTTCAGATGAATATTTTATTCTTCCTGCTGCTTGACAGTTTAGACCAAAATCCCACACTTGGTCTTCAAAAGCAAATTTTTCTGGCTATGTCTAGTCCAACTCTACCCATATGAACATGGGCTCTATATGACTCATTTTAAGTGCAGAGGTTCCTTAATACAGGCACAGGTTTCATTTCTGTCCCAGTGTCTCTCATTTCATGAGAGTGATAGATACGAAAAGAAAAAATCCATGCACTGTATCAGCATCTGGTCTTCCCACCATTTAAAAAACATAATGCTGTAAGTAAGTTTGTAAATTCTCAAACATCTGAGAAGATCTGCAGCTGCAAGTTGAGCTGCGTCCTTTTATGTGTACTGCAGATGAGTATGACTGCTGTGCTATGAATAGTAAAGGAATGTGGAATGGAAAGTGCCAAGTTAAATACAGACTCTTTATCATAGCCATCTGCTCTTTGGACAAATCAAAAACATACTCAAATGAAACTGGATCCAAATACAATTTTAAGAATATGAGAAAAATCTTATGAAGAAAACCCAGGCTCTCACTAGCTGAAGCCAGAGGGTTCCTTTGGTTTAAAATGAGAGCCCTATGCTTGTACTTCTGCACATGTCCATCCATTAGAAAGATTTATATCTAGGTTGTTTAGACATGATGATACTTGAAGCAATTGATTTCAGGAAGGTGAGTAGTCCAATCTTGCATTTGATTCGTAATTAGTTCTAAAACTCATGAGAAATTTGTACAAGTAATGCAGAATAAGGTATGGATTGTAAATTTCCATCACATGCTATTATTTTATTTTTTTAATAGAGCAGAGATCAAGAACTTAATGTTTTCTAACAAACCAAACCAAATATACAACATGTGTCCATATATTCCCACTCAACCCAAATTTTTCCCTCTACTGCCTATGTTTAAGTTGTGTATTGGTTTAAGCTAATAAATGGTCACACTTGAAAATCAGACCTAGACTTTCAACACTTTTTGGTCAAGAAGCTTTGTCAGCCAGGAATGTGACAGAAGATGTAACACGGATTAAAAAAATAAATTCTAGATGCAAGTCTGGATTTAAACTTTACACACCAACTGTATAAAAGCTCACAAGTTTAGGCCCATGGTTGCCACATCACCTTATGGCACAACTGTTGGGACAGAGCTCAGGATCATCAGTTAGTAATCTGCTTTGGTGATTTTTGTTTATGGAGAATTTTGTAAACTTGATCACTTAAAATTATAGCTAATTATAAAAATAATTCTAGCCATGACTGCACTGATGGTATTCATAGCCTAAAGATGAAAAAGCAGTTCTAAAAAAAAAACAACCATAACTGATTTAATTATTTCAAATTAGATCATGATTAAGCTACTGGAAACTTGGCAAGGAATTAGGCCAGACAGCCAAAATCATATCATCTGTTCTATATATGTTAATACCATGGATACACACAACCCTGCTTATGTACACAAGTATGCCTCACAAAATAGGATTTAGAATTTGGCATTTGGCTGTTCTGTGTGGTAGGTCTCTTCACTCACTGTACTTATTCAAGTTGCCAGTCAGAAACCACTGGAACACACTGACCCAGGTGGATTTTGCCTTCTCTTTTATCCAAAGCTTTGCCAATGCCTATGTCCATGCTCCTTGGGTGAATGGGAATTTGCCCTGGCCCAGGGACCACACTGGGCTACAGACCTTCCACTGGCTTCCTGTGTTTTAACACCAAGAGCAATGCAGAGGAAAATGCTTCAAGTGCTTCTCTCCTCTGTTTAGTGGCAGTTTATTGAAAAGTTATCAAAGTACTTGTCAGAGTGTTTCCAAACTGTCTGGAAAGAGCTATTTTCACATGTTGTATATGGTGTTTTCCTTTTACAATCTGATTAGAACTGAATGTGCACGTCATGGAGAAAGATGCTAATATTGCTCATGAACAACAGAATGAGAAAGTTATCTAGAGCAAAGGATTTTGGAACATCTACAGCTTAAGACAGGTTTAAGTCATGTTGGTCTGGTTAAATTAAGACACTCATGTTGGCTGCCTACAAAATCCTGGCCTAGAATAAGTGATAAATGCTGATGCAAGCCTTGCAGAGCAAGTATTACGGAGCCTTCTCAGTTCCCATCAGTGAAGGATTACCATTGTGATTCATCACACTGCTCCTCAAAATGGACAAAGATGATTTCATGCATGAACCTAAGCACTGTGAAAAATGCTTTCATAGATGTCTCAATATCAGCACTAGTCTCCAAAAGCAAGGTAATGAGCATATATTTACATGTGATCCTTGTGGGCAGAAAGCCCACAAATGCCTTGGACTTACTGCCTTTTTATAGTTCCTGCTGCATCCAGGGCATTTGAGATCTCTCTAAACAATCTGATGCTTGTGGTGCAGTGAGCCAAGGCTGATACCCATCAGTCCTCAGTAACCACTCAGCTTCAGCCCTAAAGAAAAGAGGAAAGGAAACCCTTGCAGTATCATGATGGCAACACTCCATCAAAGAGGGGTAGCTCTTGTGTTCCTTACTTGATTCATAGCCAGGAATCAAAATGTACTTTTTGTCTGAGCAACATTACAAGATTTGGCTTTCAGTGGGAGTATGAATATTTCTGAAAATATTGGTTGCACCTCCTCTCATCGGAAAGAGACACTGACCTCTGTCTTTTTGACTACCAGAGACAATGGCTGGCCCTTATCCTCCAGTGGACAGCATCTCAATGACACTATACTGTGAATACAAGGGGTAAGTCTAAGGACTTAGACCGACAGGTAACATTGGAGATACCTGAGCTGGCTCCACTCGTGCCAACTCTGGAGCCAGAAATACTGTTCCTGTGTGCCAACTCATGTCCCCAAAACCTGGACTGTCCATTGCTGTGCTCAGGCTAAAAAATCAAAAATCATCTGTTATTAAAAATACTGCTACAGACAGAGGGACAGGAGAAACAGCTCAGGACTCCCTGTCCAGCTCAGTGCTAGCATGGGGGTTTTGGGTCTCTGAACCATGGTGGGCTGTAGCCTCACCACAAATACCATCAACCTCCTTTAAAAGTAACACTCTTTAGCCTCCTTTAAAAGTAACACTGATGCCAGCATTTTCAGGGGGAAGTATGTCTAGCAGTCACTTGCACAAGTAGAACTGATGCAAGCAGAGAATCATTTACAGTTCCCCTCATGCTCCTCAATGAGTTTACTCTGCTTTGGGCCACTGTCAACCCCACCAGGTCTGACAAAGCTGTTCTGCTGACAAAGCATGCTGCTCCTGAGCCCTGCAAGTTAATGCAAAAGCAGCAGCCAGCAGGTCTGTGCATGGAGAGGAGACAGAAAAACAAGAACCAAGGTGGGTCTCAGAGCATAGCCAGAGGTGTTTCAGGTGAGGATGGCGAGCAGAAAAAACACTCCAACTGGTTCAGAATATATACACATATATATACTGTTGTGGTTTAGCCCCAGATAGCAACTAAGCACCACCTAGCTGCTCACCCATGCCCCCTTGGTGGGATGGGGGAGAGAATAGGATGACTAAAAGTGACAAAATTTGTGGGTTGAGATAAAGACAGTTTAATGGTAAAGCAAAAACAGAATGTGTAACAGTTACTTGGGAAGACAGATGCTATAACTCCATATGCTCCCTTTTCCTTCTTCTGCAGAAGAGAATGACATCATATGGTGTGGGATACCCCTTGGGTCAGTGGGGGTCAGCTCTCCTGGCTGTGTCCCCTCCCAACCCCTCATGCACCCCCAGCCTGTTTGCTGGTGCGGTGGTGTGAGCCCTTGACTCTGTAAGCACTGCTCAGCAGTTAATTAAAATGTCCTTGCATTATCAACACTGCTTCCTGCACAAATCCAAACCACAGCCCCACACCAGCTACTGGGATGAAAATTAGCTCTACTCCAGCCAAAACCAGCACATGTAATGTATAAAGATTTTTAGGCATAGTATTTAAACCTCCTGCAAGAAATACTTGACTTCCTAATAAAGCAAGCATTTTTAAGGGCTGAGAAAAATGTTTCAAAATAACTTTAAGAAATCTAGGCTTTTAATAGAAAAGGACATGGGCAAAACCCTTGGTGTACTAGGATGACTGAATAAGTCACCTACAATGCCCAGCTGCATTTCTTTCAAACTGCACATCCCTTCAATTTTCCCATCCATTAATTGTACATTTGCACTGTGAAAGCAGAGGTACCATGTCAGAATCTCCAGAACTTTCACTTTCTCTAGGCAGAGCTGATGACATAGAGGTTAACATGTGAGTGCCCTATATCTGAACT